TTGTGTTACTGTGCTCTGTTCTCTTATGTTAAAAAAACATAAAATCCTCTGATTTAGGAAGAAGGCAATCAGTGCCTTTGTTATTACTTCAAAAAGCTCCTTCAGTTTAATGTCAGCATTGTCAATTTTCAATGCAGCACAGCTGCAGCTTATGGCTGTCATGCATGCTGAAAAGCAACTGATATTTTGGAGATCTTCATGTGAATAAGAGGGAAAACCACATATCTGAATGCTACCATGTAGCACTGCTGTGTTATTGTGATATTAGGTCAATTGCTTCTTGTATTATGAATTCAGTATCTTTGCATAGCAATGTGAAAAAGTGGTGCTTTGGTTTTGACCAAGAAGCTGTATGTTTGATATCAGAGCACACAAATTAGAAGGTATGTAACAATGCTGTAAAGCACTGCTCTTTTTTCTTCCATAGAATTGGTGCCTGGATCATTAAAAAAAATCTTGAATTCATTTATGCAAACATTTCTAGGCAAAGCCAGTAAGGGGATTCTTTGCCCTTGCCAGAAAGCCAGATGTACTGGAGGAACCCACAAAAATCTTGCTTGCTTTACTTCAGCTGACTGCATGGGAAAGACAGCGTGAGCTGCTCTGTGCTGCTTTGCAAATGTGTGATTTGGAGAAGGACTTTGAGGACTTCTACCTTCCTGAATAACAACAACAAAAAAATTATATTGTCAGAAATTTTTGTGGATGGTTAAGTCTCAGTATCTTTACCAGAATGGCTATACCTGCTATAAAACTTGAATACAAAACATTTGATGTTTTAAGTCTGTGTATTTTTAATAAACAAAGTGGCATTGAAAGAACCAATGCACAGTGATGTAATAAATGTAGGATTATTTGGTGTGGGATTATGAAGTCACCTGGCATTTACTTGTTAGAACGTGCCTAGAGTTCTCATGATTGTAAAAGCTCTACTTAATAACTTAAAAAACAAAGATTAATCTACAGGTGGAGGAGTGTGAAACTCCACTTGTGGACAACTGGAGAGTCAGGTGGCAGTGAGCATGATTTTCTCACTGAGGTTTCATGCAATGTTAGCGCAGCTGTTAAGCGGTGAAGTGAACGTGTTGGAGAACTCCTTATGTGTGTCCTTGCATTCAGGAGAATTTCAGAAAATGTTCATTGTTTGCTGAATGCTTGCAATAAACTTCCTTCAGACTTCCTTCATTTCTGTTGGCTTCTCAGTGTGTTGACTTCAGAAGCTGAAATCCACAGCTTTTCATCCTCCCCAGTATCTCCTCCTGTTCCTTCACAGTGAAGTGGGGAAAAGGAGAATTACAAGGATTTCCCGAGCAGAGCAATTCCCAGTAATAATTTTCCAATGTATATTGGTTTCAGTAATCAAAATGGACTAAAACCCATTTGATTGCAAATACAGAGGTGACCCTGCGTGATCCTTGTTACTAATTACTAAAATATCTGACATCATATAATATGCAGTGTGCATATTAGGGGTACCAAAATGGTGGTGCCTCACCTACAGCTTGCATTACATATTTAACAACTTGCATTTGCATATTTTTAATCAAATATAAATGTACTCAGAACATTTGCTTGTACTTGTATCTGCCCTGACAGATGGTTAGGAATTGCTCACTGCCTGAGTACAGCACCAAGCAGAACCTTTGATCAGGAGTTGATCAGTGCTGCTTGCAATCAGCATTTCCTGAGCAGGGTGGCAAACCAATGATGCATGTGATTTGATAGGCCACATGTTTTGGTTGTAGTGCATTGCAGTTGGATAGCAAACTTACCTGGTGTGAGTGGCACTCTGAAGTGGCACTGCTACCAGTAAAAAAATAAATTGATCTGAGTATGTTATGCAAGGAATACTAATACTTCGAAAATGTTTGCAGTAACTAGTCAAGCTTTCTGTCCCAGCTGTTTGTAATTTTATTCCCTGTTTAAGCATCACATACATAACCCTCAGATAGGTAAATGCAATGAGGCTGTAAAATACTGTGTGTGTGGGATGTATGCAGTTCTTGGTTCAGAAGATGTTTGCTATTGGTATAGATGCTTTTCAAAGTTGAGCTGTAGGAGCTCATTCAAGTTTTTTGAAGTCTCTTGGCATCCCAAGACAGGTTCTTTAGGAGTGTCTTGAGATGAATTTGGTGTTACAAGTATGTGGGCACTGACTGTTGCAAGAGCAGTTCAGTAGCTACAGTACATTAGTACAATACAGTACAATAGCTACTGCTCAGCAGTGTTGCAGATTGGATTCCCTGTTTGCCCCCATGGGGCAAAGAACGCATCATTATTTATTACATGCCATGCAGATTTTTTGCATTCTGCATGAATTTTGTAGTAGTGATTACACAACTGAACAAATATTCTATATATGGTATTCACTGTTCAGGAACTTGATTGTTTTAAACTATTTCAAATTAGAATGGCCTTGGCATTAATGCTCTTTTATACAAGTAAACTTAAAAGGAGAGATTAAAAGGAGATTCAGTATATCCTTAAATGTCATTAATTCTAGACTTCTCAAAAAAAAAAAAAAAAAAAAAAGCATGGAGGAAAAAAAGGCAGTTGTGCTGTTGTAAAAGATCTGCAAAGCAGATGAAATTCTTGGTCTCTTAGTAAAGTGGATCTGACCTGCATTTACTAAAGGCCCTGAAGTTATCTTCAGGATAAAATTTCATGCTGTATTTCAAGAGTAAAATTTAGTCTTTAGAGAAACCAGTGGCACAATTACCATTAAGATCTCTACAGTGGGATTTCTGTTTTACAGGTTTATCTGAATGTAATTCAGTGTATCACCAATGCAGAAACTGTACTTTACTAGAAGTGAAAAATGGAAAATTAATAGAAATAAATGTGTACTGAAGAAATGACCTAGATTTTAACTATTAAGATCAGGTACCATCTGGGAAGTATGGAGGCTCTGTAGTTAGAGCCCTCTATGCCACACATGTTGTTTCTAATCAGGCAGGCCTCAATGCCCATGTAGCAACTCTTGTGCCTGGACTTATTTTCACAATCAGAAAGTTGAAGAATTGGTCTGAAATGATGTCTACTGAAGTATGACTAGCACTGATGGAATCTGTTTAGCTTATTGTAATGTCAACTTCCCAATTCACTCCTTTGTAGATACTGGGCAAAATGAACATTTTGAGTGAACATTTATGATAGCTTGATGCGTGTTCCAACCCAGAAGAGTTCTAGCCAACTCCAGTGTGAAAGATGTGTTAAATTGCATACATTCACCTTTGGATTGTGCTAAGATCTCTTCCCTGATTGTACCCTGCAGGGATTAGTTGAAGATACCTATACCCTTGCCTGGAAATAAATTAAGTTCAATCTGGTGACCCTGATCATCAGTCTTGTGCTTGTGTTAAGGCCCAGATGATAGGGGAGGCTGTTTTGGGAGGCAGAGGAGATGATAGGAGAGGACGCTTCTCATCCTCTGAATCTTCACGATTTTAACACTCCGCTTAGCATTGAATAGAAACAATTTGGATATAGAAAAGTGGAAAACAAGGGAAGAAGTAATTTGCTTGCATTCATATTAATTGCTGTCTAAAATTACCTTGTTGCCATTGCCACTTCAAATAATTAAAAATGAGGAGCAAACAGTGGAAATATTTCCTTACCATTTGTATGCCCTGCAGATTGTTTACATTGTGGATGTAAGAACATTTTGTTCTCATGTTCAGGGCTGTTCCTGAAGGTCTGCAGTGATTATTGCTAGAATCTATCAGTTTATTTTCAAATTGGGGCCCATCCTGATCAGAATTTTGCTTAACCATCAATACAATAAATGTTACAAATATGGCAGTATTCTAAGAAATCAAGAAAAAAAAAGATGCTCACTATGCAGGGGCTCTGCCCCTAGAAGCAGTGTGCAGACAGGTTACTCATTGCCTACTGAATAAGATTACCTAGAGTTGCAGTGCTGGCATCATTCTCAGGCACATTCCGAGAAGTCACACCATCCTTTTCGCAGAAGGGATGCAAAGAAAGGATGCAAAGAGCAGGCGTGCCTTGGAGAACTGCATTCAGCTGCCCAGCCTGCCGTCGTGTCACTCAGACACTGAATCAAACCTGCTTCTGTAAAGCGATGCTCCCCCCTCCTCGGTGTGCAGAGATGGTGCCATCGAAGATCCAAATGTCTCAGTACTTTAAAGCAGGAAAGCACAACAAGATGGTACATTCCTGCTTTTTAACATTATGCTTTACTGACGTAACAAATATTTCATCCAGTTACATAGAATTCATCTGGAGAATATGTTTCTTGTAATTCTACCTTGCCTTTAGTCACCTGTAGTATTCACTGATGTCTGTACTCTGTGGGTTCTTATAACTCCCTGGAGGTCTGCTACTCAGTGGAAAGCTTTTCAGAGCTTTTAGGCTGCCTGCCATGGAGGCAGGAGTGAGCTAGGGATCCATGTGTGTGCTTCATGCTGCTTGGCTGGGGGTGCTGTAAATCAGTGTATGTCACACCTGTGGAGGAAATACCCATGGAAGCCTGGAGAATTCAAATGCTTCACATGTCCAAAGGTCCCAGCTGAGATGAGTTTTCGTATCCATTCTTGGAGTTCAAGCTAGTGAGGTGCTGGGCAGCAGATGACCAGGGGCTTGTAGACTAATTTCCATGCTATTAAGAAATATAGGAAACTATTTAGCAATATTTATTTCTATGTTTTGAACCTGAGTTAAAAAAAAAAAAAAGTATTATTATTTGTTTTATTCTAAAGCATAGAACAGTATTTTCCACCTGAATTTTTGTATTTCCTGCAGAATAGAGATGTTGTCTGATGATCTGCTTTGGTGCAGCTTTACCTAAATTGTAAAAAGGATCCATTGTCATAGGAAGCCTTTTTAATCCAATTCAAACTGAGATTTGGGGAAGCCAACGTCCTCTATAGTTCTGAGTTCAAATTTGCTTTGTTTATTATTCTTCAGACAAAAGAAAATATCTCTGTAAGAGAACTTTTATATTAATTACAATTGATACAATCTCACTGTCATAAACCATGAGGTATTTTCCTACTGATTAAGGTATTACCTGTTTTTCATCCCGCAGGAAACATTACTTTCCTTTGTTCATTATCTCCTGCAAGATGATGAGTTCTAATAAGGAGGAGGTCACTTTGGGCGCTTTTCTCCAGTATATTGAAGATATGGGGATGAAGGCCTACGATGGCTTGGTTATACAGAATGCATCAGACATTGCTCGAGAGAATGATCGCATGAGGAATGAAACAAACCTGGCTTACTTGAAAGAAAAGAGCGAAAAACGCCGAAAACAAGAAGAAGCAATAAAACGGTAAATATTTTAATAACAAGATCAGTGGTCTGGCAGAGTGAATGAACAGCGAAAGGTTCATAATGTCATCAGTTGTAAAAATGTGTAGATGAGTTGACTTCCAGCCACTTCCTGGTAAAAGCAGTGTAGCCTGTTGGCCAGTTTCAGGCTGCTAATTGCATATTTATTATATTGTGTAGAGGCGGTGTTGAATGGCTCTCCTCAATAGAAGAGAGTTCCCATCAAAATGCATTAGATTTGAACATGAGTGGCATCTTCAGCAGGAGTGATTTGTAACAAAAAGTTTAGGTATCTGGAACAGTTGTTAGATGGACAATGTCTACTTTGTTCAAAGGTGTACCGCTGCAAGATAAGGCAGCCTCATAGGTGAAAACAGATTCTCTTTGGGTTGATATTTCAAATTTGGTAAATTTTCAAAGCTCTCTAACTGCTATCTAAAAAAAAAAAAAAAAAAAAAAAAAAAGTCACGTTACTTCCTCACCATTTCCTCACCATTCTTCCCTCTCTGAAGTAAAAAAAATAAAAAAATTCTGCAATTCATTTAAAAGAAAATGGATATTGCACCTGGTGGGCGCAACCCTATAATGGCTTTTCTTGAATAAGTCAATTGATTTTAATTGACAGCTAATGAGAGGGGCACTCACATGACCTGATGTCTTGTGCCAGTGGATAGCAACAAAATCTGCAGCCATTTAGACGTGAAAAAAGGGGTCAGCGTGATGAATTTATATCTCTACATGGAGATACCTGTATATAAAGATGTGTATATATATAAGTGCACATATGCATAAAAATTTGAGTTGTCTTGAGAAGACAGACACATATTACTGTGTAATAAAGATAAATCATCCATATATGCACTAAACTTTTATATGCAAATGAATGGCTTGGGCTCAAACTGATAGGAGGCCCTTTGAATTTTTTTCCCTCAGCGTGAATCTTCCATATTTCAGTTTGAATGATTAAATTTTATGCCATATCTTGGGTACTGTACATGCAGGTATAGCAGACATGCTGTGCTGTGAACACTCTATCAGTGCCTCAGTAGTCTGGTAATTTTGATGAAATGTTTAAAAGAGAGGCACATACAGTTTGATGGGGGAAGGAGAAGCACCATGAAACAAAATTGTGGCTGCTTTACATTTCAGGACATAGAATTTTCTGGATTTTCACTATTTTGGATTCTGTAGAGGACATAAGGCTAATGTGTAATTAAAGTGAATAATGAGAGCTAATGCAATGTTTGTTTTGGTGTCTTCAGGATTAGTTATCTTGTCACTTCATTCCTGGTGATGTTTAGAGGGATTCAAACTATTAAAGACTCAAAGGCATAGGTAGCTTTTACTAGGATGCTAAGCATGACTTAGTGAGGAAAAGCATTTTTCTTAGCAGCAAATTAATGTAAGTTCTTTGGTTGTTTTTTTTTGTTTTGATTTATGCAGGTTTTATGTATTTTGTACAATTCTTGCTATTCTTGTTTTGTGTTCCTGGGAGCAAGAACTGGAATGTTTGTGTTAAATATGAGTGCCTTTAGCAGTTAAAAGAAAAATCGTTTATATCAATTTCCTTCTCTATCTTTTGTCTACTACACAATTACGTAAATTTCAAAATTTCCAAGAGGAAAGAGTAGGGTCTGATGGAAGGGGGATTTAAGATGCAGTTACATGAAGGAGAGGAAAGATTTTAATTTCTCTCCTACGAAACAAAAGTGCTTGTCTGCTGTCAGTAAACTGGTGTTTTAAAGCAGTGAAATGAAGAGAACCTTCTCCTTATAAATAGTTGGCTCTTCTCCACTGAAGAAAATAAATTCCAATTAAAATTTCAAATATTTTGAATGTTATTAAAATGTCACTTTTCAGTTAATTTATAGTTGCTGAAAGAATAAGTTCCCTAGTCCTTGTGCTGGCAACTTCATTTGATAAGGTAGAACAGTCAGTGTGTATTAGTTTGGACCTACCTGGTTCTCTTTATCCCTGTAGCTAAGCTTCTCTATACCTAATTTGAATGGTGGCAGTAATATTTCCTAAATCGTAGTTGCTTTATGTGTTTTTTTTTAATTGATCTTGGCAGAGTTATTTGACGAAGAGGTCTGAATAAATGTTGATGATTTAGGCCAAGTTTTGAAATTTGTTGTTCATGTTGAATTGAAATTCTTGAGAACAAAGCTCTACTCCCCAGATACCATGTCAGGAAACAAGGAAGATTCCCAACAATACAATGGGTTTCTCTGAAGAACAACATGTGCGTGTACACATATGTGAGTGAGATTTGGAGGCACCAGCATTTCTCAGCTGTAGCACCGTTCTGTGGGAAACCATGTGTGTGGTGGTACCCTCCATTCCCTTCCCTCTTGGCCTATCTCAGTATCACTGAGATATAGGGCAATACCCTTCTAAGAAAACAAGTAGGAAATCACCCTAGGAAATCTCAGAAAATGTTATCTGTATCCTTTTTTCTGTCTATTCCCGGTGTAAAGTTGGGAAGGAGGAGGAGATATTCATGATCAACTCTTGATTAGTAAAACTAAAAGCAATAACAGATCCAGGAAAAATATCTGATTTGAGTAAAGGAACAGTGATGTCATAACATCACTTAGGCTGATGGCAGTTAAGTCTGCTCCCTGTAGTAACCTTCACAGGGGCATCCAAGGCCCTGTCTATTGAAAAACAGCAGTCAAAAAAGGTAAAGTAGGATTATTGTTTACTTCTTTGTTCTGTAATATTTCCCTTATGTTTTAACCATATCTTGGTGGGTATTTATATTCTCCCTAATTCCTGATAGTGTGGCCTAGATAGCAGTTAGTGCACATGTGCAGTGATAACTGTGCTAACAGTCCAGAGACTGTCAACAACCGAAAACAATCTCTGTAGCAACCAGGGACATCCCCTGGGACTTACAGCAGGTAGATTCTGAACAGGGGCGAAGGGTGTCCAACAAACACAGAATAAAGAAATCACCCCTTTTGCCTCCAAGAATGAAAATAAAGCAGCTGAAAGTCTTTGGCACCTACTGTAAATTGCATTAGTCTGATTATTTAATTCTTGATAAGCTATTCAATTTCAGTGTTCAGATGCTCTTTGAGAAGTAGATATTCATGTATATTAACAAATTAATGAGCACTTTATTATCTAATACAGTGCTGGTATTCACATAAATACTATTTTGAAGAAGCTGTCATTTACCTGAAACAGCTGATAACCAATGCTGCATGACTTAAAAGTTCACTGAAATGCATTAGTTTTAGCAGTTTAGAAACAAGATCTGAAAAATGACCTTTAAAAAAATGTTATTTTGTATTTTGCCTCACTGAGAATATGTTGTGCTGTGCTTCTTCAGTAGCACTGATGCACTTTTAGTGTGATTGCTGTTTCATTCTGTGTGGTTCTGATAGGTTAATTGTGGGGAAAAATGTATGGATCTAATGTAAATTGAGGGGGATAAAGTATGCATCGTATTGGATTGTGAAAACAAGCAACTGGGCTTTGTCTGATCTTGCTGGGCTGAGTCAGCTGATCTGATCTGAATTTCTGACCTAATTTTAGTAGAGTACTTAGCGATCATGCAGAGAAATTAAGGTTAACGTGCTGATCAGTGGCTGAGAGAAAGCCACAGTAAATGTTAGTATATTTATTTTAAGCCTAATTTTTAGACCCTCCTTTGTCCTCCTTTTATTTGTCTGGTCTCACTTCATCGTTGTCTGTTCAGGAGTCTGTGTTCAGACCAAAAAAACATACTGGTATATTGCCCACAAGCTTATAAATTGCAAATAAATTATGAAGCAGCATTATTTTCACTGGGAATGAGTAGCAGTAATTTGAGACGTACACGTGTGATGATACAATATCTGCCATAGGCAGTATTTCTGGGAACAGAAGCTAGATTAGCCTCTGCTGTTCTGGGTGCCAGAGAAAAGGTGAGTATTTTGACTTTACATAGGTTACTGTGAGCAGTTGCTTTCTTACTCATACATAAATATGCAATTTCAGTAGGTACATTACATTTGTTATATTGATGTCTTATGTGGATGCTTCATTGGTGGCTTTTAAAATAGTATTAGGAAATAATGAACCCTAGCTCCTCCTCTTCCTCCTCTTTCTCTCACAGCTGAGACACATTGCATTAATTATAGGGAGTGGCTGGGGCTGCAGAGTTTCATGGGAGATTCATGCCTTGAAAGTTTGTCCTTTAGTTTTTGGGCATCATTTAAGCTACTGTTTCTATCAGGAACGTTGTTTCGATTTGTAGTATCACGAAGATGTGACTGATGTGTACAGCTGATGGTGTCAGTAGGCGTGCACTTCTAACTGCCAACTCCTAGGCTTTGCCAAAGTATGTTTTTCTGCTTCTAATGTTTTCCCCTGTTCTAGCTCATTCCTAGCACCTAAATGGCTCTGCAGAAAGCTTTGTTTCTGCTTGTTGTGGGTAGTATCCAGACAGATGCTGTCAAGAGGAGGAGCTTTTAGGAGCACTGTTTTGTGCTAAAGCTAGCAGAAATGGGCCAGCCAGCCAGTAGCAGAGTTAAGCTCTTGTAATGAAGATGGGATTGTAATGAACAGCTGTCATCCTAACCTCTCTTTCCTATGGCAAACCAAATAACGAAGACTGACACATCAACAAAAGTAAGATATTTTTCTCTTGCTGTTTTCTTCTTTATTTTTTCTTTTTTAGGATGGCAGAGGCAATGAAGTTCAGGTATTATCCATCTGTAGTTTTAAGTAGTTTCTGTCCTTAGGTTCTTTCATAAAAAAGATGTAAGATATGTGCCCTTGAGCTAAATCTTAAGTTTTAAGTGAGAGTGACAGCAAGCAAGTATAAATATGTTTCTGAGTATGGGATTATTCACTGCCGAAAGATCTTTCAGCTGGGGAAACGTGTGTGATCTTAGGGCATTCTTAAGTCTTTCTACCAAAAGGCTGCTATCAAAATACAAAATAACCTAAGGAAAATAATGCCATAATCAACTTGCAATAACGTTTACGATAACGTTAATTTCATAAAAA